TAAGTTTGACCCTGAACTTTGACTTTGACCTAGAAGCGCTTCTTCTTACACAGCTGAGCACTCGTTTGGCTTGAGTGAGAAAGCAGCTGAGTCCCTCAGAATTGAAGATTATCATCATTACGTTTGACCCCTCAACTTTGACCTGTTAATGTTCATACTGGAAAAGAGCTTTTCTCGCAGAAAGGAATCCCCAAAAATGCACATGATTCGCTTGAAAAATCTGGAAATCTCATGGAAGGTTGAGGCCAATACTCTCATAAATTGTCCATGCTTGTCTGTTTTTCCATTCACCTCCCTGAACTTAGCCTTGAGTTCAGAATTGCACTGAAGATCAATCAGCTCCATTTGAAGTGCGAAGTGTGAGGGGGGGGGGGGGGCGGGCATCTCCCACATTAAAGGAGAAAAGGTGAGCAAAAATGTGTTTTGAAGTCTTCAAACATGTGATCAAATTCTTCCCGTAGCTTTGCAATGTCAACAGTATACTTACTACATAATGATGTCCCCGATTCCATGAGTACTTTGCATGTTGGGAAATGGTAGAGTTTTCTCTGAGAACCATAACACAAGTTGTGTGTAGAATGTCATGACTTTGTTGTAGGCAACACTGACAAGCTGTCCCTGGACTTCATTCAGTTCCTGTGTAATGTCAACAAGAAAAGCCAAGGCCATGAGCCATTTAGGATCACTTAGTACAGGAAAAATCACCCAATCCTTCTCCATGAAAGCCTTAAAGACAAAAGCGTGTTTTAAAGCAGTAGGTAGGAGAAGGCAATTTTTATAAATTATTGATGCAATGGAAGATGCTATTTAAGAGAGAATGAATTTTTATTTTATTTTTATCGTAGAAAAGGCCCTTTTGACCAAACCTATTTTGAAAGTGACCAAGCTGACAGGCTCGGAATTTTCCTCACTCGTACACATTAACGGAAATTTTAATAGAGATTCTGTGAAACTGTGTCAGATTGCTACGATCTACATAATTATGGTTGTGCTTTACCCACTAACTGACTTTTAAAAATGTTTCTCAAAACCGCACTTTGGACGTGTTTTTCTTATAAAATGGTATAAGTAAAAAATGTTTGTCCAATTTTAAAACTGGTGTTACCATTATAATCAAAATCCTAATCAATAGAGACATAATACAAATCAGAATTAGACTAGTCGGTGAGATTCGACTGAAACCGTCACGTAGAGTCACATAATTATAGATATGAAAATGGGGAAACGCGTGCCGCATGAACACTAAACTTTGCTGTAGTAGCGGGCCATAAAATATCGTCTTGCGGGCCGCGAGTTGAGGGCCCCAGTTTTAGAGGATTTTTGGTAATGGATTTGTGTCTCAATTAAAATGATGTATACAGCTAGAAGATTTTTTTTTCTAATAATTTTGGTTCTCCAAATTTTTGTATAGGTATGGGAAACTGTGTCTGGGTATGGGGCGTGTAACAGCATAACGATGTATGGGGGTATTTTGATGTTGGATGGAATCAATTGAGAGGCAACAAATATCTAGATATAACGGACGAGCGTAGGTCGTTTTATGAGTTTTTGCTATAGTAAAGTGTGTGATAATTGTTTAAGATAATTATGAAAACAGAAGTGAACAGATATATATGTATGGATATCCTGCGTTGTAAGTGAATTTATTTATTTATCATCTGAATTACGTCTTGTTGTAATAAAGTGCTTAGTGACTCGGTAACTCATATGACCACACTGGTTGATGTCTTGGTGTGGGCAGTGGCTGCTATTTTATGGACTCAGCTAACCATCTGCCCTGCATTAACAACAACAGGGTTAACGGTTACGTTTGGTCAAGAAAACAGAGGATGCGAAGAAATTATGGGGTGCCGTAGTTTAGGAGAAAGAAATTAAGACGGCGAATGACTGGCAGACATCTTCGAGGTAAATGAGAACGTTGTGGGAGTGGGGCTGGCAGCGCAGTCTAGCAATAAAGAAATGCACAACATAATTTGGGTTTCCCTGATAACAGAACAACAAAATCAAAAAACAAATTGTCCACATGAGCATTAAAAGAGGAGCTGTTATTGCATATGATCACCATCCAGTTTGGACAAGACTCGAGCAAACCATGAGGAAAAACTGGTAAGAGCCAGCTGATAAATGAATACATTTCAACATTAGCACTTCCGGATAACGAGCAGAAATGAGAGGAGTCGGGTGCTACCTTGAGAAATATGTTCTAGGTACTGCACGACCAAACAGCTGATGTCCTGGTAGAATTATTTCAATAGCAAAAATCAATACGTCATTAGCATCCACGAGCAGTGAGTTAAGCACAAACATATTACCAAAAATAACAGAAGAAAAAAAAATGAAGTCTGAAATAAACAACAGCAGGACTCAATCAGAAAAAAACAAACAAAAAGCCCATGAGAAATATACAAGAAGCCAATGGAAAAATAAAGAACAGTTTTTAATAAGACTTTTTTAAAGACAAAAGCGGAAAAAGCAGCCAGAAATGTAAACGGAAGAGCTCTATGATATATAAGAAAGCTCTCGGGTAGATACGAGAAGCCGTAGAGACCGGTTAAAGGCAAGGAAGGTAGTTAAATAACGGAACGGAACTGGGTACTGGGTGGCCGAGCGGACTAAACTGTCTTAAACCAAATAGCCGGTGGTCTGGATTTCAATCCCCAAAGCCAACATCCCAAAGACCCCGGGTGGATGGGACTTGAACGGCAAACTCATCTAAGAGAAGGGAAACTCTGAATTCAAACCAGAGGCAGAATGATCAACAAATTGATCATGGGCCCTCAAATATAAGAAGAAGGCGATCAACAAAACAGATGGTTGGAATACCTTTAGGACTTACTAAATATACATTCACCCACAGATACACCATATATACAACCAGCAAAGGAAGATTTACACAATGAATATAGTGCCACTCATCAGGAAGATCGAGCTTATGGCTATCCAGCAGCTTAAACCTAGGAAAGAATCTGGACCGGATGACATAGCAACAAAGATTATGAGAGCAGTTATGGATACAAAATTCAACATGCTACACCCCCTATTTGTAAAGATATGCAAAGAAGTGAGAGTTTGGAAAGAAGGACACCTCATCATAATAACACAAAAGGGGATCTTAGCAATTGTGCAAATTACATGGGAAATACACTGTTGTCATTACTTCTAAATACTCTTCATATAATGTTATTTTGCAACGGACACCAATAACTCTTCACTACTAGCTGATAGTAAGACTCTTGGGTTGAACAAGCCCAAACGTATTTTCAACTTCCTTTTTCACTGATCTGGGTTTCCGAATGAAAGCGACTAATACACTCCAGCATCTCCCTACTGTTTTCTTCTCGCAGAAAGAGTCCAACACCTATTAATTGTTCTCCTGCTATTCCCTTCTTAAACCTTAATCTTCTCTTTACCGAAATTCCACATTGATCTGATTTTAAAAGTGCCTTTTTAATAGCATATTCCAACAAGTGACAGAGCTTCTCATGAAAAAACAATCTTAAAGCCTCTAGCTTTGTCACCACTTTGTCAAGAGTAAGGTAAAGCTTTTAGTCTGCATATACAGCTGTGAAAGATTAACTACCTCTAGTAGATCAGGCCAAAGGTAAAGGTAATGGATACACGTGAAATCACAGACAGAATGTAAAAGACCCTGTGCTGTATGACAATCGTATTCAAATGTTAAGGGGATATGTTAGTGACGAATTGGCGAAAATATCCATTTTGAGTATTTTTGAGTTTCGATATATTTTTTTTTTAAACAATTTTTTTTAAAATTTATTTAATTATGAAAAGATATTTGACAAATTTTGTGAATTGTATTTTCTTTTCCGTCTAAATAGGTAAAAAGTCATTTTTGTTTAAAATGTTTACTGATTCGATTCATGTACTTAGAATCACCTGACAACATAGTATTTGGTATCAATGGAATGCTTAATTTCTCAGAATTCCGTCAGCGGGAGACGATAGATTATCTTCATTGCTTGCAGCTCTTGGTGTGGCTGATGAGACCAATCCTCGAATGGCAGTCTCTGTTACTTTTCCCACACACGAATGCGGTGGAGCAGTATTTACTGACCTTCCTCCTCGCTCTTTTTGCAGCTGTTTCCGTCCTGTTTTGCTCCTCGGCATGTAGTGATCGTTCATTCAAAAAGTCCCACCATGTGGATCGATCCTCTGACAGATCCTCAACCCAGTGGAGGCGTCTTTGGATTAATATGGCTGAGACGCTACATATGTTTGTTTGGGACAGGAGATCGGTGTTGGGGACTTTGTTTGCCATTTAATGTCAAGGATGTGGCGCAGGCATCTGAGGTGGAGACCATTGAGCCTTCTTTCGTGCTTAGAGTATGTGGTCCATGACTCGCATCCATGGATATATATATATATATATATATATATATATATATATATATATATATATATATCTTCCTGACACTAAAAAATGTTACAAAAAACCAATCAGTGTTGAATCATGGCCAAAACGTTGTTTTTCTGACTAATTGTAGGGTCACTTTAATTCTTTGTGGTGTAGACCATTGAGCTTTCTTTCGTGTTTAGAGTGTGTGGTACATGACTCGCATACATATATATATATATATATATATATATATATATATATATATATATATATATATATAGCTTCCTGACACTAACAAATGTTACAGAAAACCAATCAGTGTTGAATCATGGCCAAAACGTTGTTTTTCTGACTAATTGTAGGGTCACTTTAATTCTGACGCATCAACCTTGAACTTTTAATAAATCACGCATTTGGATTGGCTAAATGTGTGTAAAATTTACGTGTTATCGATTATCCTTTTATGACATTCGATTAGACCAAGCAGTGATTGCTCTGTAAATAAGCAATTTTTTAAAAATTGTGTGTCCACTTGTTTAGCTACTAAATTTTTTAGGCCTGATCTTTAAATTGACATAAAATTAAACTACAACTTCACGGATTCGATTATAAATGTGTTGTTGTTTTTTTTCTTTTTATTCCCAGCTTCAGCAAGGGTGGGGCTTGCAGCAGTCGGACGTTCCTAGAGAAAGTCTTCCTGGTCCTACTGCTGGCCGTGTTTGCTGCTCTGGTGGCTGTCGTGGTGGTGCTGATCGTCGAGAAAACCAATGACGACAAGCCGGTGACGTCGCAGGACACTGTTATCAAAAAGCAAGGTGAGGTTGATGTGAGCGGCTGAGCTTGTTATCATAGGTGAGGTGCTGTCGGTAGAGGATCCTAAGAGGTGGTTCTTTGACCACTTGCTGCTGTATCGGGATTTTTTCACCCAGTAAAGAAAATATATAAAGACAGATATATAAAACTGTTTGTAATATCCTTTACCCTAGACATGGTCCCCAACCCACCCCAGACATGGTCCACACCCTACACATGGTCCCCAACCCTAGACATGGTCCCCAACCCTAGACATGGTCCCCACCCTAGACATGGTCCCCAACCCTAGACATGGTCCCCAACCCTAGACATGGTCCCCAACTCTAGACATGGTTCCTTACCCTAGACATGGTCCTCAACCCTAGACATGTTCCCCACCCTACACATGGTCCCCAACCCTAGTCCCCACCCTAGACATGGTCCCCAACCCTAGACATGGTCCCCAACCCTAGACCTGGTCCCCAACCCTAGACATGGTTCCCAACCCTAGACATGGTCCCCAACCCTAGACATGGTCCCCAACCCTAGACATGGTCCCCAACTGTAGACATGGTCCCCAACCCTAGACATGGTCCCCAACCCTAGACATGGTCCCCAACCCTATATATGGTCCCCAACTCTAGACATGGTCCCCAATTCTAAACATGGTCGCCAACTCTAGACATGGTCCCCACGCCTAGACATGGTCCCGTCCCCAACCCCAGACATGGTCCCTAACCATAGACATGGTCCCCAACCCTAGACATGGTCCCCAACCCCGAACATGGTCCCCAACCCCGAACATGGTCCCCGAAGCAAACATATAAATGACTCGTACACATCCCCCCCCCCCCCCCCCCCCCGAAATCTTGCAATTAAAAATTGTATTACACTTGACATGCGCATTTATATTAAATACTAGTAATACCCCCCATACCCAAACGATGGCGGCGACAATGCGTGAACTTCACGTCTACTAAAGTGACTTGACAAGACAACACATTCGAGTAAAGCACTTCATAAGAAACACAATTTGTGCCGCTTCTGGGAATTTTAATTGGACGCGCCTGTTTACTACAGCGTTAGAGCAATACATTCATGCATGCCTAGAAAATATTTTATCCTTCTCAAAAATCTTTAAGTTCCACGTATTCTACAACGCAGAACAACTTCACGGGAGGGATACATTTAAACGTAGCAAACGTTGTTGGATGCTTGATGGACGACACTGTGCGATTCATTAAATCTGGTCAGGCATTCACAACAAAGGTTACGAAAGGATTTCCCTGTTGTTATCCACCCCTATAAGGGTGTAAGGGGAATATGGTGGGCCGGGGGGGAGGGGGGGGGAGTGCAGACTTTAAGTTGATTATCTCTACGAATAAATATTTTGCAATTTTATTTTTAATGGATAGAAATTTTAATTGTTTATTTTTAAATCCATGGCAACAATTGTATCACATCGACCGCTTCACTTTTGTTTTAATTTCACTTTCATACCATGAAAATATGGGTGAGAAAATAGTTTACTATTAGTATAAATTGTTTTTGTTTTTTTAAATTGAAAAAAAAACAATCACTACTCCTTGCCTATTTCTTGTTTGAGATACATATTGAATTACCGCGAACTGTCACGTGATATCAGCAGCTCTCAACCTGTGGGTCGCGATTTCTTTGTGTGTGTGTGTGGGGGGTGGGGGGGGTCGAACGACCTTAAGACCACCGGAAAACATGTATTCATGAAGTAGCAACGAATATAACTTTAGGGTTGTGGGTCACCACAACATAAGGAACTGTATCAAAGGGTCGCGGCATTAGGAAGGTTGAGAACCGCTGTGTTAGATGGGCGATCAGGGTAGAATGGGCGGACCGCATTCACCACAAAGGTTACGAAATTAATTCTTTGGCGTTATCCGCCCCTTATCTTACAGACTTGGGGAACTGGGACAAGGGGCGGTAAATATGGTCGGAAGGGGGAGATAACAAAGGTTCATACGATTGTGGCACACGTGTAATTATCAAACGTCGTAGTGTCCTGTTGTTTTGTTGTTGTTTTTTTTTATTTTAATCGCTTCCTTTGCTAGCCCAACATTTTTTTAAGGACGTGTTGAGCGGGGAGGGGGGGGGGTGTAATTATTTGCCATCCCTTAAACACGTGTTTAGGTTCATCAAGGCATCGCTTAGTGTCAGGTCCCTTAACTCTTTATGCGCTGTATGTTTAAAATTATCCAGGGATTTTCTTTTATCGAGTTGGAGTTCTCTCTCTTGGCCATAGCTTTAAAATAGTGCTCCGACTACAACTCATGAATTATGCAGAAATATATGATACATTTTTTTGTTCTGCTGTTGATTAAAAAAGTTGTTCCCAAACGATGGGCTCCGCGATCACTTCATAAGAAGTTGATTCGTGGCCGTTTTTTTGGAAATTCCCTAAACACTATTAACTTGTATGAAATAGGATAGGCTAAATACCCCTACCCCCTAGGGTTTCTTTCAGCTATATCTCGGGAGGGGGGGGGGCAATACCCCGGGGAAATCCAAGTGCCCCCTGGGGCAAAAACTACATCCAACAATAAANAAAAGTGTAATCTAAAAAGGAATGAAATTGTTCCTTGTGTCACACATTATTTCTTTTAGACATTGTTAGCCTCAAAAATTTCCCCCAACTTTTTTTTTTTTTTTTTTTAAATTGTTTTTAAAAAGGATTCTGAACGGCAAAAAAGGTTGGGGAAGAGGTTGGGAACCACTGGGTTAAACTATCATTAAATGCGTAACAGTGCATCCCCTCAGCAGAACATCAAATGCTCATGTAGAATATCAAGTATCCATGTATCAAATAGAATACCAATTACCGGAGTAGAATATCATTCGTTTCATATGAGCACGTGATGCAATCCAAATATCTTTTTCTTTTTTTTTAACATTTTCTATGACCATCCTCCGTGTTGGGCCGCCATGCGTTTAAACACCTTGTTGTGCGTTCTTATTTTCACGGATATTTATTCTTGCTTTGTGGGACCCTGTACGTAAATAACTTGTATTTTAATTTTCGATAATTGTCTTGAGTTCATTTTAGTTTTCGTAAACAGGTTTTCCCCATTTACAGATATTACTCTTTTTTTTTTCAAACGCTACCCTATATTCAAATATTAACTCATTTATAAATATTACATTATTGACAGAGTATACCTTGTTTACAACTATTACCTTATTTACAAATATTTCCTTACTTACAGATGCTACAGATGTCTGCCTCAGAAAAGATTGTGTTGTGGCAGGTGAGTTGTTGCATTCATTTTTTCTTTCATTTAAACCGAAGCGATAGAGCTAATTTGGCAAATAAATTAGAAGCATTTACACGCAGTCACACAAATATTAAATCATTCACGTTTTCGAGATTAATGATATTTTAATCCCAAGAATGAATAATCTGAAATGTATTGTTACCTAAACACACTTGAAATTTTTTTTTTAGAATTTAAATTCCTATTCAGTCTCAAGGTGTTTTTTTTTTTTTTTTAAGATAAAATGTGTCAAATTAATCATTTATATTTAATAAAAACAGAATGTTAATTATTCTAAAATTCAAAATTCCTTTTCCTTTAAATTTTTAGAGTCTTTCTTTTTTTTTTTTTTTTTTTCCTATTCAGTCTCAAGGTGTTTTTTTTTTTTTTTTAAGATAAAATGTGTCAAATTAATCATTTATATTTAATAAAAACAGAATGTTAATTATTCTAAAATTCAAAATTCCTTTTACTTTAAATTTTTAGAGTCTTTCTTTTTTTTTTTTTTTTTTTTTTTTTTTTTTTTTGAAATTATTTTTTTTTTTTTTTTTTTTAATTTTTTTTTTTTTTTTTTTTTTTTTTTTTTTTTTTTTTTTTTTGTTTTGGAAACTAAATTTGTAATTTCTGTGTCTGAGATAATGTAAAAGTTTCTCCACCATTTCCCAAACACCATTTTTGACAGCTGCCCGCATTGAGCAGGGCTTGGACTACAGCGTGAAACCATGTGACAACTTGTACCAGTTCGCGTGTGGTCGTTGGATGAAGGAGAACGTCATTCCGGAGGACAAGGCCAGCCTGACCACGTTCAGTCTCCTGAGTGACAAGATCGACATCGTCATCAAAAGTTGGTCTTCACTTTGGTCAAGTTTAGAGATTACTGTATTTTTAACACTCTTAAGGCTTGATTGTTTTTTTTTACAATATTGTACAACAAAGGAGAGGCAAGTAAGAGCTTAAAATGATTTGCCAGCTGGGATCATTGGTAAGAACAGGTCAGTGCAGAGGCCGAGACAACCGAGTAAATCACTCTGGATCCTGTCCATATGGGGGGGGGGGGAGGGGGGGTCCCAAGAGCGGAAATTTTATTTTATACAATTATTTTGACATTTTTTGGGGGCCCAAAATCTGATTTTTTTTCTCTGTGCCCCAAACCCTTCTGCACGACCCCGAGTATAAGAGAACGATACTAAATAGCATATGGTGAAATGCCAAACACAAATAACGTCCCCGTCTGTTGTAGTTGTCGCCTACAGCATCTGTAAAAGTATGGACGCCCGAACTCTTTGTGATCCTTAATGAAGGCTTAACGAAACTTTGAACACTTGGAAAACGAACATTGTTTCAGTTTTCCATCCTTATAAAACAAACACATATTTAGTTTGTTTTTAAACTCGTATAAAACCAACCCTTGTTTCAGACCTGCTTGAAGAGCCTCAAAAGCCCACAGACCTGAACAGTATAAAAAAAGCGAAGGATCTCTACGCTTCCTGTCTCAATGTCGGTAAGTGACCACTGGTCAATGAATGTTTGAAATTGAGGGACATGTATTTGAAGTTGGGGTGGGGGTATATATGAATCTCCGTGATACTACTTAAATCACGAGCGTTGGGCCAGTATTGAGTGGTGGGCCAATATGTGAGTTGTTGTCCAATATGTGAGCGGTGGGCCAGTATGTGAGCGAATGGCCAGTATTGAGTGGTGGGCCAATATGTGAGTTGTTGTCCAATATGTGAGCGGTGGGCCAGTATGTGAGCAGTGGGCCAGTATGTGAGCGGTGGGCCAGTATGTGAGTCGTTAGCCAGTATGTGAGTGGTGGACCAGTATTTGAGTGGTGCACCAGTATGTGAGTGGTGGACCAGTATGTGAATGGTGGGCCAGTATCTCAGTGGTGGGCCAGTATGTCAGTGGTGGGCACTATGTTAGTGGTGGGCCAGTATGTGAGTAGCTGGCCAACACCTTAGCAACGAGCCAACACATGTGCAGTTGACAGGCACGTAAATGGCGGGCCGAAGTGTAAGTTGCGGGCCAACATGTAAACGATGGGCCAGCACGTGAGTGGCCGGCTAACGTGTTAGCCACGGGCTGGCATGTGCGGGCAAGGTCCACATTTGAACGATGGGTCAACGTGCCATAAACAGATAACTTACAGGATAATTCCCAAACCTTCCCAAAGCCATGGTTGAAGAACCAAGTGAGATTTACCCAACAGAAATATCCGGAGAGGGCTTCCTGTAGGCGATGTAACGTAACTCCTGCAACGAACCTAGTGCCCAGCTCAACCATCTATTGATGTTCCTTTGGATTCAATATCTGCGTGGAAATGGGTATCCTGTGAATGGGAACCAGAGTATTCTCCATAAAAGCACCTTTTGGTATCGCATACGGATGCAAAAAAAAAAATAATAATAATAACAATAACAATAATAACTTTTAATGGACATTCCCTGACTGTGCTTGGGATTGAGTGATTCAGAGTAGAGTTTTTAAGTGGGGAAAAGTTTCGCATTGGCTTCAAGTTGAGTTGCAGTGTCGAGAAAAATTGCGAACTTTCAGGACAGATGGAGCCGTCTCGCATCTCATTCGGGTCTTCATTATAAGTTCGTGTTAGAGAGTAAATCGGATTATCTTTTCGTCTGAGAGACGCTCCGGGGGGGGGGGGTTTGTAAATAGAATATAATCCAGTATTTCAAAGTTGATTAATCCTGTACAGTCAGAAAAAAATGACGTCACTGGGAATGAACGCAAGAGAGAGAGTTGACTTAGCGGGAGAATTTAAAATGAAGTTTATCTGATGAAAATAGTCTCTCCCAGATTTGATCAATAAGAGGGGCGACAAGCCGCTGACTGATCTGCTGCTCAAAGAGTTTGACGGGTGGCCCCTGACCAACAGTCGATGGAACGAATCGGGCTTTGATCTGGTCAGGACCCTCAGAAAACTGAACCAGCACGGCGTGTACACGCTGATCGTCTTGTACCCAGCCACGGACAGCAAGAACTCGTCCAAAAGAATTCTAAAGGTAAGGTCTATTACCGTTTGATGTTGCCGGGGACTAACGGAAAAAAGCTCTATTACCATGTGGTGTTCCTAGAAACGTTCCTAGTTAATTTTTGTTTTCATATGGTGAATCCCATTGACCGATTACGTCGTACAGTTTTAATATTATGCATGTAAAAATTTACTTCAAATATTACACGTACAAACGCCGAGGATAAGATTCGACATGAAGTGGTTTTACCGTCGTGTTTCAACTTTCCCCCAGACTTTTTCGACACCAAACGCTGGTTAAGTTACCCGTAAACCAGACGTTGCTATAAGGCTCTCATCACTTTCCTAATCTCGTCAAGACCACAACGAAATGCGTTATCATCACTGAGTGTAGTATCTAAAAATTGTCTGAAAAGCTGTGAGGTCACTTGGTCAAGTCAATCGGTTTATTTCTAAAAGAATTAAAAACAAAAAGATCGAATGTCTTTTACTCCCTTAAAATACTTCCCTTCAGGCTCAGTAGAGTGCGCTAAGCAGGGCCGGCCCTAACAATTGCGGGGCCATACGCGAAACGGATTGCGCGGGGGCCCAGTCTGGGTAGGGATAAGGATTATAGGTGAAAATTAAGATTTTGTATTAGAAAAAAAAAAGTGCGGGGGCCCAATGCGGCCGCAAAGGTTGCAGTGGCCTAAAGCCGGCCCTGGCGCTAAGAATGCGTTAAAACTAGTTTGAGAACCACTGCTTTAACCACTTTATTCCAACAGCTAGGATCAGTATAAGTCGAGGAAGGTGGGGGTGATGAGTTTAGGTACAAGAATATGAGTAGAATAAGTTAAAGGTAATTTGAAATGGTCACAATGAATGTGTCGGCAAAAAGCCGTCTTCGACGAACAATCAAAATAAAATAACTTATCTGATGCCGTGGAATGTTCCAGATAAATCCATGATGTCTATGGTCCACCTTGATCAGTATTCAGTATTTCTCGAGGGCACTAACTGCATCTGATCTGAAATTAACCAAATTTTATGTTTTCACGTGAATGAAATCTCCGTTTAAAGTTTAAATTGTTTTCATTTATTTACTTTTTTTTTTGTTTAGATTGATCAAACATCGTTTGGTATGCCAGGACAGAAATATTATTTGGTACCCAGAAATGACACAATGCTGATGGCCTACGAGGACTTGATCTACGGGCTGGCTAACCTCTTGGGGTTCGCTAATTCAACAACTGCCCGGAATGATGTGAAAGGCATTGTCGACTTTGAGATCGACTTGGCAAATGTAAGCTCTGCATATGTATTGGAGATACAATAGTACAGTAAAATTGTTGTTACCAAACACATATGAGTTATGCGGGAAATAAAATATCGATACTGGTTGAAAACATTCATGGAAAGTGGGTAAACATTTCAGCTATAAGAATTCTGGATATGGGATATATGTGAAGAGCTTGACTGAAAGTATATAGTGGATTAAGGTAAAGAACTTAGATGGCAAGTCGATATTTGATCAAGTTAGAGCAGTCGGGATTGCAGGGTGACTCGGATATGTAGGGGCCTTAAAATTGTGATGAGAAAAAAAATTATCATCATTCAAGGGGGTGGGGGAGCAGAAAACCGAAAGTGACATGTGGCCTCCAAAAGTCACGTGACGACTCTGAATACAGGAGAAACTGGAAAGTAGACAAAAGGTAAGGATGAGTCTAATGTCAATTTTGAAAGTAGACAAAGGCTAGGATGAGTTTAATGTCAATTTTGAAAGTAGACAAAGGCTAGGATGAGTTTAATGTCAATTTTAAAAGTAGGCAAAGGCTAGGATGAATTTAATGTCAATTTTGAAAGTAGACAAAGGCTAGGACGAGTCTAATGTCAATTTTGAAAGTAGACAAAGGCTAGGATGAGTTTAATGTCAATTTTGAAAGTAGACAAAGGCTAGGATGAGTTTCATGTCAATTTTGAAAGTAGACAAAGGCTAGGTGTCTAATGACAATTTTGAAAGTAGACAAAGGCTAGGATGAGTCTAATGTCAATTTTGAAAATAGACAGGCTAGGATGAGTCTAATGTCAATTTTGAAAGTAGACAAAGATTAGAATGAGTCCAATGTCAATTTTGAAAGTAGACAAGGCTAGCATGAGTCCAATGTCAATTTTGAAAGTAGACAAAGGCTATGATGAGTTTAATGTCAATTAGTATTAATCATTTTATTTCATGCCCAGATTTCTGTGCTTGCTGAGAACAGACGAGACAACAATGCTCTTTACAACCCTATGACATTGGCGGAAGTTCAAGGCAACTATAGTCAGGTTAGTAGGGGAATTTAACAAGGGATTTCTATTTCATTCGATAGGAAATAAAGAAGTTTCAATTGAAAACATTTGATTTTTTTTAACTGAATTAAAATTCTCCAGGTACTTGTAACTAGATAAAAAAAATAATTTGGACCAGTTAGAGGAGTCTATAAAAATGTAATTTATTTATATACACCATCTTAAGCGATCCTAGCTGTTTCTAGTTGTTGGCAGATTTCTGTATCACTGCAACAAATTAATGTTGTTTAATTTTTTGTTGAAATCTGCTACAGTCACAATGTAAGCACTGCTTTATTCCCCCCCCCCCTTTCCTTTTTTTCCCAACCTACTAAAATACGATTATAACTCGTTCAGAATCTATGTCGATATTAGGTGATCACAGTCTGAATAATTCCTATTTGAATACTTCTTTCCCTTACTTAGAAAAATAAAGTGTTGTTTTCAAACAAAAAGTCTGGATGCGGTATCTAAATTATCTTAATGGATCCAGATATTTTCGTTTCCAGCAATTTGATTTTCTGAGGTTCGTGAATGAAACATTCTCATGTCCTGGCGTATGCATCACGGACTTGACCGAAAATGAAGTAATCATCAACCACTCGCCACTCTACTTCCAGAGACTCATGGGTCTCCTTGAGAAAACACCCAAGAAGTAAAGTTTTAATTTTTTTTTTTTTAGTGTTTCTTGATGCAACTTGACAGAAATACTGCACAATGTGACAGTTTTAATAATCAATATTAGTCATGATCTATTCGAAACATTTATTAAGAAGTTTATGTTTAAATTATTTTAGGACAGTTGCCAACTACGTTATATGGCGTCTTATATTTTCATTGGCTGTCAACCTGGGAGACCAGTACAAGGGTTTGATGAGCTCATACAAAAAGGTACGCTTTGAACAGTTATTGGCAGCTATCCTTTATAACAAACTAGACTAAATTGAAGTATTTTGGCCTAGAAAAATATTTTGATAAAAATTTAAATCTAGACTTTTATTAAGGCATCACCTGTTGCCTACAAGGAGATTTTCCTAGGCTTTAAGTTTTCATCTCTTAACTTGCGCAGTCTATTAGTTAAGGTAAGAAAAGGCTTTTAAAAAATTGGGTAATTTACGAAACAATTAATAAAACGATAAATCCTGGATTTATTTCAAAAGTCAATCTTTCACCATCTTTCGAACAATCTTTGTATCTGAGGGTATTTCTTTCTGTATCAGACTCTCTTCGGTACTGAAACAGAGCGTGCAAGGTTCAGGACTTGTGGGGCATACACAAGCTATTTTATGAGTTTAGCCGTGGGTCGGATGTTTATCAAAGATAATTTTGATGAAGAAACAAGAAACATTGTAAGTTTTAAATATCAAGACGGAATTTAATTTAAATCTTTCAAGGACACAAAGGGTGCCCGATCATAATATTATTATTGGTTTGTTTATAGTGTGGTGTTTAAAGCGCCATTTAATTAATTTAACATTGTGGTGCTAGATTTTTAAATATAAATGGAAGATTGAACAAATAAATACAAGTTAGGGTGAAGCTTTACATTGAGTAGAACTATCTGACATGTATCGGAGAAGGTTCTTCTAAGCAAGCAGGCAATAAAAAAAGTGGGAAAACGTGTTGTTTTTTTTTTAAATTGTAAAATTAAAGAGACATGTAACACAATAAAAATTTCTGAATGGCTGAAAGGTTTGGACTTTGCAAAACTAATTGATACAACAACAATTTTAATTATGTTTAAACTATTTCCTGATTCATTTTGGAAATTTTTTTTTAAAATCTGAGTCAACAGAGTGTTGTGTAATCTTTAGGTATATAGGAAGTGATCAATTACATTTGACTATTACAGATCGACATGATGATAACTGGCATTAAAGCGTCCTTTAACAGTCTGGTGGATGACCTTGACTGGTTGGATGCTGAGACAAAGGCGTTAGCAAAAGACAAGGTTTGACGTCACTCTTGTCATAATGACCTAATTATTTGTTTTTGTTCCTCTTCGGTTTATGTCGGTTCGCCACTCAGCTGACTGAGATACTTTTTTTCTCTCGCGACCCGTGACTCCCCACCCCCTTCCCCAAGCCTTCTTTATGTGTCCTTGAGTGAGTTTGTTTTCTTGCACACAGTAGCGCTCAAAATAAATTTGATATATCCTTTATATTCTCTTGGATAGCGTGACCATCTGCAGACCCGTTGGTATTCTGGGGTAATCAGGTGTTATGTAATGTTTTATGGTATTTAAAATTTAATCTTTTTACAGATTTTGATCGTTACATAAACTATAGAGAAAATGCCGAGAAAACCGATACTAAAGCTGGTGATGCTAGATTTTACTCAATTTAATTATACGATTAATTTTAAATTTAAATTCTAAAATAATAATAATAAAAACTGTCGGTTTATATATAGTGACTAAGTAAGAAAAGTTCAGACAAAAAAAGTCTGCATCACCATAGAACATAAACAAACTTTTCCCAAATAAGGGAAGGGAGGGTTGGTACAGGGCTACACATTTAATCGACGACGTTAACGTCTACAAAAAAAAAGCTTTAAAAATTAGGGGAACACACAGGCTATAACACCTTCCCTCTTTACAAAAAAAAAAAAAAAAAAAAAAAAAAAAAAAAAAAAAAAAAAAAAAAAAAAACAAAAAAAAAAAAAAAACTACACAAAAAAAAAAAAAAAAAAAAAAAAAAAAAAAAAAAAAAAAAAAAAAAAAAAAAAAAAGGATTTTCTTTTTTTTTAAATTGGAATTCTTTTTCCAATAAAGAAATAAACACAAAATACAAAATAATATAATTCTTTTTTATACTAAAAAAAAAAAAAAAAAAAAAAAAAAAAAAAAAAAAAAACAAAAAACACAAAAAAAAAAAAAAAAAAAAAAAAAAAAAAAAAAAAAAAAAAAAAAAAAAAAAAAAAAAAAAAAAAGGATTTTCTTTTTTTTTAAATTGGAATTCTTTTTCCAATAAAGAAATAAAAACAAAATACAAAATAATATAATTCTTTTTTATACAAAATAGTTCACAAAAATTGCTTAAAAACTTAACAGATAAGCAGTTACATAACTTCAATGGACAGTCAAATTAGTCTCTTGACAAAGTGTCAACAGTAACATTATGTTTGCCTCAATATGTTTTATATCCAAGTGATATTCTTGTAGAGATAAACTCCGCCTAAGTAACCTTTGATCTTTGGAAACCATCTAGTTAAGGGATTGTGGTCTGTAAAAAGCAAGTACTGGATGCAACGAACAACTTTTAAAAATATCAACTTGTTGCAAAGTAAGAATTTAACCTAGCCCTTCTTTTTCAGTTGTGGAGTAATTCTTCTGAAGGGGATTAAATTAAATCCTTCCGATACGAAAGGCATAAATATTGATGAACAGCAGGAGTTTCTGATGCAGAAGTTTAGACCTTGGTAGGAAAACTCTTGTCGGAGTCTTGAGATCATATGAGCCAGAATGATGAATACATTGATTGTGGGCCCTCGGAATATAGAAAAAGAAGAAGATCATCTGGTTATGGTAGAAGAAGTAAAACTAAGGCTTCGGTAAAGCTTGACTTACTGTTCAGAATAAAACTATTTCATGAGTCATGAGAAGCATCAACTTTTGGATTTTGAAAATATGTTTCCAGATGTGTGACGAGATGTGCAAGCGGAGACTTTGTGTGGTGTACCAGTATGCATGTGTGGTGTACCAGTATGCATGTGTGGTGTACCAGTATGCATGTGTGGTGTACCAGTATGCATGTGTGGTGTACCAGTATGCATGTGTGGTGTACCAGTATGCATGGTCTTCTCATTTTTTTTTCTTGATTCTCTAGCAATCATCCTTAGTGTGATCTTCTGTTTTTTTATAATATGAAAAAATGTCTCTTGTACTTGATTCTTTTGTGCCACAATTTGTTGAGATTTGCAAAAATTGATGATTTGGCTCTATTATGGTTGTATTTTTTGTGTAAAACTGGCTCTTGGTGAATTTATACGAGATGGTTAAGTTGTCGGCCAACACTATTGCCTTATGCACATCATTCTCGCAATGGTCTGCAATATGTGTTCGCACGTCGATATGAACACCATTCTTGAACTCCTCCATCAGTACGAGGTCTGTTTATCAGTGCCCTGTGATTACTCATAATTTACATTTTTTTTTGTAGTTCTTTTTCTCTTTCTCTCTTCGAGCATCTAGCTCCATTTGATTTAGCTTTAGCTGGAGCTCCTTTCTAGGATCATTTATTTGTTGACTGAGGCAATATTATTCTCAGACAAAAGATCTTCATCCACTGCGTGGACGTTGATTAAATCTAGAACAGTTTTTTTTTTTAAAAAGTCAAGCTAACTTATTACTAACTCGTTCACAATGGAATATACGTCTTTTCTAGAACATTTCTCTAAAATCTCTTCTGACGGCTGGTAACAACATGTTCTCTGGTTCTGGTAGTGTTCGTTGCTGCATCCATTTACTGGTATCTTTGCAACTGTTGGGGAAGCGTCGTTGCTATCCTAACAGCTCCTAGCAGATGCCAGGGCATTCTTGAAGCTTTCTTCTTGAACTTTCATTATTTCAGAAATTACAATATAGTAATATAATGGTTTTTTTAAGTTATATAAGACAAGCAGGTCAAGCAGAGCTGTCGCTTGACTTTTCGAGACCCCCTGCAACTTTTCGATTTTTTTACTCCTTCGCTTTGCATTCAGTGTTGATAATTAGAGCTCTAAAATATCCAAGTACCCCTGCAGTCGTATGGTTGAGGTTAAATGACACCCACATTTCAACTAGCATCTCTTCCGTTGCTCTCCATTACGTGTAGAATGTTGCTAAACTAAATTTGGGTATGCTCTAAAATGAATTCTTGCATTTTTAATAGATCCAAAAATTATTTGTTCTAAAACGTTTTAAGGGACACGAATACCTTAGAGCAAAATGTATGCCCTAAAGGGTGAAAAATTAAACGAATTTTAATTCATGTTTGGCTACAGATATTATTGATCTTTGTTATGGCTATTTTTGGCACTTCCGACCCGAAAGTCTGAAATTCCCCATTCTAAATTGTCTGAAAGAAACACCATATTCAAGCATGCGCGTATATGCATCGCTCCATTTTGAAACTGAACAAGAGCTTCCAACGCTCTCACATTCTGCACGCCTCTTCCCTGACGCTGATCAGTGTGACAGTACAACGTAGAATCTAATGGTTTGCAAATGATTACTCTGCGGTGCGCCACAACTGGAGGGAAATCAGTTTATGTATGGCACTGGGCACCATTATGCTTGCCCCGGATGTTTAAAAAATTCCGGCCGCAAACAAAAGAAAAATTGAATTCAGGTATAGTTAAAAATGCACATTTTGATTCTGACGACACATACCCAACTTTCACGATACAACATGCGCAGTCATACGAAAATTCACATTTTAAATTGTGTTATCGCATTAGCGTATTGGCAATTGATGCATTGTTCGGATGACATCTAGTAGTTAAAACCTTTTTTTCTTTAAGAATGAAGGCATTACATCAAAAATTGGATACCCCAAGGAGTTGTTGAATGACACGTATCTTGAGGATTTCTATTCAAATGTGAGTTTTCTTTCAGAATATAAAATGCGATTGCTTTCCTCATACAAAGAAGAGAAAATTTCATCACCTTCCTCATATAAGAATTAAAAAAATGTCATAACCTTACTCATATAAAGAACATAAAATTGCTTCACCTTACTCACATAAAGAATTTAACATATACTCACCTAATTCATATAAGAATATAAAATGTAATCATCTTGTTCATATAAGAATATAAAATGTCATCATCTTGTTCATATAAGAATATAAAATGTCATCATCTTGTTCATATAAGAATATAAAATGTCATCATCTTGTTCATATAAGAATATAAAATGTCATTACCTTACTCATATAAAGAATCCTCATACGCTTACTTACTCATGTCTTACTCATATATAAGAATACAAAATTTCTCGCAATATTCATATAAAGGTATTTTTATTTAACTTGTGTTGGGATGATAACACCAGATAATTTTTAATCCACAGCCGAGTTGGGTTCTTTAGTTTACCGCCTCAACTCGTCTGAAGTCCACTCTCTCAATTAAGATAGCTGCCCGACTGGTCTGAAGTCCACTCTTTCAATTAGGTTAGCTGCCCGACTGATCTAAAGTCCACTCTCTCAAATTAGGATAGCTGCCCGACTGATCTAAAGTCCACTCTCTCAAATTAGGATAGCTGCCCGACTGATCTAAAGTCCACTCTCTCAAATTAGGATAGCTGCCCGACTGATCTAAAGTCCACTCTCTCAAATTAGGATAGCTGCCCGACTGATCTAAAGTCCACTCTCTCAAATTAGGATAGCTGCCCGACTGATCTGAAGTCCATTCTTCCTTAAAACTGTTTTAGAAGTTTGATTATGGGGCCATAAATGTCTTGTATTCGCAGATAACAAATCTAATATTTATTTCAGTGCCCTTCCCATTTAATTTACGTTTTGTTTGTACATCTAACAGCTGACTTACAACAAAGATGAGTACTTTGAAAATGTTTTGAAGAATAATCGAATACATTTCATCCAATCCATGCGGCACCTGAGGCAACCCATCGACAAGGAACAGTAAAGATCTGTTACAACTTAATTAACCTACTTTAATTGCAGGCCTATTGCCGAACTTTTTTTTTTTTTCTGGTGCCATCTCTGCTACTGGTATTACAAACATTACATAGAAATTTTTTTAAATGACTCTTTACACTTGCAAAAGCCACGACAGTCTCGTGTGTGGTATTTTAAAAAAAAAAAAATGTAGTATGGTTTATTTATCTTTACTTACGTCAATGCCTTCATTATTATGCTGAAGTAACACGGAGCAGAGACTGCATTCAAGCCAAGTTCATGTGATATTAAGAACAACATTATATAACAGCTTATTTCATGGTCTAGTTATTTTAAGGCCAAGTCTGTAATAAGTTTAAGTCTACCAAAACAAGCCGCACCCGTTTTAAAGGATTGGCTATATTTATAATGTTCCTTTCACATTAAATAGTTCAAGGTTCAATTTTAACTCATCAAGTTACTGGTGATATTTGAAAATTATTGTTTTCCCAGATGGGATTTCGCAGCTACAGACGTGAATGCAAACTACCACCCATCACGGAATCAGATTTGTGAGTGATTGTGTGGCTCTGTGAGTGATTGTGTGGCTCTGTGAGTGATTGTGTGGCTCTGTGAGTGATTGTGTGGCTCTGTGAGTGATTGTGTGGCTCTGTGAGTGATTGTGTGGCTCTGTGAGTGATTGTGTGGCTCTGTGGGTGATTGTGTGGCTCTGTGGGTGATTGTGTGGCTCTGTGAGTGATTGTGTGGCTCTGTGAGGGATTGTGTGGCTCTGTGGGTGATTGTGTGGCTCTGTGAGTGATTGTGTGGCTCTGTGGGTGATTGTGTGGCTCTGTGGGTGATTGTGTGGCTCTGTGGGTGATTGTGTGGCTCTGTGAGGGATTGTGTGGCTCTGTGAGGGATTGTGTGGCTCTGTGGGTGATTGTGTGGCTCTGTGAGTGATTGTGTGGCTCTGTGAGTGATTGTGTGGCTCTGTGAGTGATTGTGTGGCTCTGTGAGTGATTGCGTGGCTCTGTGAGTGATTGCGTGGCTCTGTGGGTGATTGTGTGGCTCTGTGGGTGATTGTGTGGCTCTGTGAGTGATTGCGTGGCTCTGTGAGTGATTGTGTGGCTCTGTGAGTGATTGTGTGGCAAACAAAATGGCAATATTTTTATTGGGAATTAAAAGACTACGCCATAAGACTCGCACCCACTTTAAAGACGTAAAATCTTACGGATATGCAGTCACAGATTCCATTTATAAAACACCTGGAAGGATATCATAGAATTTTAGTGACGCATTTAGACCATGTGTTTTTTTGTTGTTGTATGAACAAGTAAAATTGATCAACATTGCCAGTTTCAAATATCGAATCTACACTTTTTTTTAACATATTCTTTATTACGGTAGTGCATTCCTTGAAGTAAGATCAAAATTATTTGCATTTGTATAATATGTGCTCACTGAGAAAAATTTGACTTAAAATTATGCCTTAAAGAAGAAAGGAAATCAACCCAAAAAAATGTTTATTATATTACACACCTTGGTGGAAGTATCCACCTTAGTGGAAGTATCCACCATAATGGGAGTAGCCACCTTGATGTCATTGAATTAATTTAATATGATGTCATTAACAGTTTATAAAAATCATAACGCCAATCAGAAAACATGTTCAACCTCCCCCCCCCCAAACCACACCCCCTCTCCCTGCTTTTAAAAGACTCTTTGTAAGCGTTGTCGCCTCGTTTATGCTTCTGACAATACAGCGATGTTATCACATTTTTTTGGGCCACCCTGTAGATGTTTAATTTTCCTTCTTTACAGGGATACGCGCTGGAATTCTCAGACCTCCGTTTTTTAGCAAGACGAATCCTATGTAGGTTAATTTTTTTTTATAAGGACATACCCGGCATATGTTAATAAGACTTAGTTTAGAGTTTAATGGTGTTGTGCATGCTGGTAGACTGGCTACACGCAGAGAGTGATAAAGTCATGTAGTGGCATAAACAATGTTGAACACCATATAATTGAACTAAACGAAAAAATTTCCCACTTTGATATTGAAATTAGGACTAAACACTGTGTCCATCAATATTGCAATATGTTACATCTAAGCTGCACATGGAAATCAACTTTTTAAGCAATCCACAAAAAAATTATACAACATTAACACTTTTCCTGCCATTCTCAGGTCTTTAAACTTCGGAGGTATAGGTACGGTGATCGGCCATGAAATCACTCATGGTTTTGATGACGAAGGTGAGGGAATGCCCTCTATAATTTGCATGGAATATGAAATGAACCATTGCATTTTTTTTTATAAAGGGATAGCGAGCAGCGCGTTAATTCACAACCGTATATACATTTTTTTTAAAACTGGGAACTAACATAAATATCTATGTTTCCCCTAAATATTATCCAAATAATAAAGTTAACAATTAGACAAGCATGAAAATACACTTTACATATTTGTCACAATTGTAATTAATTGACAATCAAGGTATGGATCACCTCTTCATTGGATAATCTTTTTTTTTTTTTTTTTTTTTTTTTTTTTTTTTTATTAATTAAAATTTAAAAAGTTTTAAATTTTATTTTTTTTAAAAAATTAAATAAAAANTTAATTCATTCAATGTGTATCTTTATGTGTTAGGATATTAACCAAAGGAAACCGGTTCAAAAAAAAAAAAAAGTCAAACGAAATGTAAAGAAATTTTGATGAGTAATCTGGCTTAATTTTATTGTAAATTTTATTTTGATTTTATAAGTACATACTTATATGTACTTTTAACAAACTGTTCAGGTAATCAACTTTAATGATGACATAGACTTGGTCCCAATCTGAAGATTTAAATTATTGAAAAATCCTTCTTCGAATCTGTGGACACATAGCATTTCCATTCACCAGAACTTCACAGCGGCACCAGTGTTCTGGAATTTCAGCATTTCATTATTAGAATTCTGATATGTGTTACTCAGTTTCATGATAAAAAGTCTTTATTTTTTAAGACATATTCCTGTGCTACAAATACAGAACATAGTTTAATTTATCCATCAAACTTTGTTTATAACGATTGATATTTAATTCAAGCAGTGGTTCTGTCCTTTGAGATTTAGACCCAATAATTAAGAATGAATTTTGGATTTCATTGATCCCCACTCATAGATAATTCCATAACTTTGTTGTTAAATTTTATTTTTTACATTTCAATTTAACAACATGCACTCCTATCTCAGGATTCAGGAGTACTGAAAAAAAATATTTTGTTGAAACTTGAACAGACACATTTTTAAAAAGATTTTTATCTCTACTTGTGCCACAAATTAAGTAAGCATTAATTTCAACCTAATTTGACCACATTTTAGGTAATTAATCTCTATGTAATTAATGAGTAAACATTAAGTTCTTATCAAAAATTGTATGCACATTCGTTAAGCTCTTCCTTAGCTCAATGTGTGCACTCTTCAGCTGATATTGTCAACAAATTTAACTTGAAAAGTGCATTTAAAGGGATGACTAACATAATAAGTCAGTGTATTCCCACTAACATATTCTCCCATGTTTAAACACACACACTCTTCCTGTAATAACTTGTAGGTCATTCAACTATGGCAGCATCGGGTATTTTCTAGGACATGAGATCACCCACAGATTAGATGACAAGGGTTAAAGTCAGTTTCTCCCCCTTGTCAATATACCTGCACAAAATCTTGTACCTTGCACGTTTGTGTTTTTTTTATGATAAAGCACTTTATTCAATCACTCGTTACATCATAATCCATCTATAATTTATTAAAAATGCTTATATATTAAACAAAACAAATTTATCGAATGATGGGAAATTCTTAATATAATTTCTGGCTAAAAAATTAAGTGCATCTTCATATTAAATATCAACAACTTTAAAAATATTTTTTAAAATCAAAATCAGTTGCACATATGAAGAGTTTTCAGTTATAAACTTGATTTTCATCTATTTCCCAGCGATAATAAAAACTATTCTGGCCTTAAGTTTTTCCTTTGTGTGTGTACTCTATTTCATGTCTCTTCCTTTTTAGTTATTTCATAATGATCCTAGGTAGACGAAGACTCGATTTTACTTTCATCTATCTGGTCATTTTATCGTCGCTGTTCTTGTATCAATCAGAATATGTTGTGTTTAAACATTATTATGCTTCCAGTTTATGAAATGAATCTCTTTCAGGTCGGCAGTATGACAAGAATGGTAACCTAGCCCAGTGGTGGCCACAGACAGCAGTGGACAATTTCAAGACCAAGGCCCAATGTATCATTGATCAGTATGGAAACTTCACTGTGTCCCAGATTAACCAAAAAGTAGGCTGGGCCGTCTCTCAAACTCAATGCATCAATAATTTAATATCAATACCTGTGTTAATTGTACAGCTACAATAAACAACTTCCGTCTCTACCACTTCAATAATTGCTGTTATATTATCTGCAAACTCTACTAACTAACTACTGTAACATATATAGGCTACCATTTCAACTATCTATCCATTACTGGCATCCGTCCGTCACAAAGTGACGATGGAGTGGGCTGGTGTTTTTGCTTGACTGGGCTCTGGCTGGAATTGAACTCGAGACCACCAACTTGAGATATGCTCAGTTTAGTCCACTTGGTCACCCAGCAACTAACTACTATATCATTGTATACCACTGACGCCATCTATCAAGTAACCATTGTATCATCTACCATTTCTACCACCTATCTACTACACCATCTATCTATTAGACCATGTATGTTATCTACCGTTTCTACCATCTATCTACCCACTAACTACTTTATCACATAACTTAAGTTCTTTCCACTTTCAGCTGAATGGTAAAAATACACAGGGAGAAAATATTGCTGACAATGGTGGACTCCAGCAAGCCTACAAGGTCAGCGCAACTGTTGACACACTGACAACTCAATTTATGCAACGCATTGTGAGAAAACTTAAAACAAAGACACAAAAAATAATTTTAGAAAATTTTGACACAAACAATATGTATATAAATAAATAACTGTATTTTCAACTTTTTCTCTGTACCACTAAACATTTTCTGGAAATTCTGCCCCCCTCCAATAACACTTCCGCTTCCGCTTTATCCTAAAGCCCCTACCCTCAGGTTTCACCAATAAAAAAACCAACACTACATTTCCCTGCTTCCATTTGACATTTGCCCCTATCCCTAATTGGAAACTTATATAAGTTGTATTTAAATGTTGCAGGCCTACAGAAGCTGGGTCAGTTCACAAGGGAAGGAAGAATCACTCTTACCTGGCCTGAATTTTACTCATGATCAACTTTTCTTTATCAACTTTGCTCAGGTGAGACAAGAATTATATTTTTGTAAACAGTACTTCATGCTTCCCATTTTTTATGAGGGTGGCAAAAATTCTGACTCATCTTTGATAAAGTGACCTACTTAACAAGCCAGTCTAATTTTTGAAGTCTAATAAAACAAATTAGTCACTAATACTGTAAATTTTGTTAATATGAGATTTACAGAGTTTTATGATCAATATAAGCCTGGTATTATGAAAGAATAATCTTGTGTTATGTTTTAAGAGAATTATGTGTATTTGTACAATATGGAAAACATGATGTATCCGTTATTTATTAATGCAGTCTGAAGGAGTAAGATGACTTTAAAATTGATTCTCCTTTCTAGTTGTGGTGTAATTTAATGACAGACGGTCGGGCCATGAAAAGTGTACGAATAAATACACACAGCCCTGGAGAGTTCAGGTAATGCTTCTGGTATTTCTGGAACTTGTTTGATTATCAGGAAACGGAGGAATGATTGGAACATATTAGTATAGATATATAAAATAATCAATTTTTCGCAAACTTTTTATTGAAAAATATATCAAAATGCTGTTAAAAAAATCGATGAGCTTTCATTCCCTAATCTATTTTAAGCCCAAAATATAAAAAAATTCACATTCCATAGTCATAAAAGTTTTCAATAGTGGAATCTCGAAATAGTTTCATGTGTTTAATAACAAATCGAATCAAAGTATTATTTTTTTTCAAGTTACTTCTTCTTCCTCTAAGTTATTTATGAAATTAACTGGCCCAAGAGTAAACATAGAATTAAGTTATCCTCTTCAAAAAGAAATTTCCTTACTTTTTTCCTAACAGAGCTATTGGGTCTGCTCAAAATTCACAAGATTTTGCCAAAGCCTTCAACTGTCCAAGTGGCTCTTACATGAACCCAAAGAATAAATGCCGTGTTTGGTAAAGAATGGAGAAAAAAAAAGGGGGGGGGGGATGTCTCACAAATACATTAAATTTAAAAAGATTTTTGCCAACACTTTTTTTTGTGTAGATATCTCTCCTGTCTGAGGTGCTATTGTGATGTATTATCATGTATTCAAATAATATAAAATATAAACTAAGAATACAAAATGATGTATGTGCGATGCATGCTATTACATAAAGACGTATAAATATTTCCAGCTATTTTAATAATTGTATGAACTGACGTTAATGATTCAAAGGCAGCAGCTATGAAATGTAACATTAAATCTTGTTACAGAACTGCTTTTTTTTTTTGTTTTTTTGTAATACTTTAATTAGACTTTGAGAAATAAAACCACTTGCCCCATTTGGGAAGATTCGATGAGGACATGACTCTGTCACTGGCCATTTTTATTATGTCAAACATGGTGTATAATAATAAAATTCTAGGCACACAAAATGATTTTACAGTTTTAGGCACCCTGGAGTATTGATCGTTTCATTGGTTTGGGCACACTGGTCGAAAACAGTTTTGATACACATGCACTCAAGTATGCCCCTTCAACACTCACATTCTGCTGGACATCAGAGGTTAAACCATTCCCCCCCACCTTCACTCTTCTTTAGTAGATCACTTAACCAAAGAGGATCATTAATGTAATAGAACTTAGGTAGGTTAAAGGTTGAAGAGAAATGATGAGCTGTTGAATGACAGATGTTACATTAGTGTTCAATCGAAAAACACAAGCCTTATCTTATTAGGGAATGAGAAAACAACACACTTCTTCTTGTACTTCTATATCTTAAGGGCCCACGATCAATTTATTGATCATTTTGGCTCCTATGCATGTAGATGGGATTTGCAATGTTTCTGTTACTGGTGTTGATGATGAAAATCATGCACTAGGGGTTTGAAGGCTTGAGGCAATAGACATTGATATTTTTTTATACCATTATTGCTCTCAGGTTCAGTAAATGTGTTCAAGTAAACTTGGTCAATAATTTAACTTTGTTTTGTGTGTTCATGAAATACCATTTTTTGAGTATTCATGGATTGCCATCATTAAAAACTACAAATATTTCATAAATCCTAATATAAATTTTGACGACCACACTGATCCTAATATTTGTACATACACTAAATTTGATGTAAAAAACATTTTTTTTACAATAAAATATATGTCTTTAATTTTTTTGATCCTTGTCAAATTAACTGAAATGTGTGTGTAAAATTATTTTTTCACTCCTTAACTTATGCAAAGTGACATTTAAATTAGATGTACCGTACAAAAGTATGGCCGTCATAGAATTATAAAACCATACCATGAACTCAAACTAACTCATTGTTTTTCAAACAATTCTGAGCGGTACATTTACAAAAAACAGAAACCCATGGAAGCCTGTGTTATATTGTAATATCAACATTACATTTTTCTATAACAAACACTCAAAGAAAAATCTATTAATAATTATAATTAAATAGTAGCTGGTTACTGTTTGAAAAAAAAAAATTAGTTTTAAAAATTGTAACTTATCAATTAAGTATTAGTGTTTCTTCACATCTGCTAAACAATACATCTTTTATCAATTTAAAAAAAAAAGATAAGTTATATTTGATATAAACATTTATTGAACATATTATATAGCCCATAAATATCATGTACATATTTTTCCATTTAAATGAAAAAAAAAAAAAATCCAAATTGAAAGAAGAGTTGAAATGTTAATTGCTTCCTGTCATAGGTCATATGTAAAAATATAAATCTGAAAATACTCTTACAGGAATCTATTCATTTACCATCCATTTATTATTATCTTTAATACTGTTGAATAAACCAACACCTATTTATAAGCTTACAGACAATTGAATCAATCCACCTGCCTAAGTCATACCCACACACCTCAACCATCACCCTGCTCACAATACAATCATATGATGTACCATGCATCCAATTCAACACTTTAATAACAGAGAAAAAATATTTTAACAATGTTCTTTATTTCTAGTAAAGAATTTGAATTGTAAAACTTTATAGATACTACTGTGGCAAGTTAACTTGGTTTGATGTACCAATATTTTAAATGTTGCAGTCTATTCAAATTTGCAACAAAAAAAACAACCCAAAAAAATCCTACAAAAAATTTCTTTGTTATGATAAAAGGGGTCATAAGATTGTGATTCCATGAACAAAAAAATGAAATCGACACATAAAAGAACCATTGAATGGACCCCTTTGGTTATCTTATTACAACTTCACATTTGAGAACCATAATTAATGAGTCAAAAGTTTAAATTCCAGCTTTGTCCAATATGTACATTTACTTACATTCTTTTTTTTTTAAATGCTTACTAATATATTATGTAGATTTTATATAATAAATAAATAGGCAAGCTCATTAGCTGTGAAACACTTGAGAATTCAAAAACAGTTCCATCATTTGAGATTTGGCAAAATTCAAAATAAAGGTGGCCTCACAGTAAATTATTGAGAAAAGGTCATACAAATATGAAATGATAAATTGAGCTATTACACAGAAACTTTTTTTTAAAGTTGCAAGGCAGACACTCTTAATCTTAATAATTTAAGGAAAAAGAAATTGTGCCAATATGCATAAATTAAATGTAAAAAAAAACGTATCTTTTAAAAAGATAATTGTTTCTTAAAAATTCATGGTCTTATTATTTGCATTTTAATTTTGGTCACATTAATGTCAAATATCCATATCAAATATGTCTTCTTGTTAAAAATAGTATAAATTATCAAATGCAATTTTAAAAAAACATTTAAATCATTTGAACAGATAACCCAGATTATTTTTTAACACTACCTTTTCCAGAAATATCCTTATTTTAAATATAATTTAACACTAAACTTTAAATAAGATAGCTTTCAAAAACATGAAAAAAATCACTTTTTTAGGTGGACTTAATGTTTCATCATTCAACTGTATTGCATTGAAACTTTGCCCACTTCAATAGACTCATTGTATTTTATAATAAATATATTTCAAACAACCCCAGTCACCAAAACCTAAACCCCATGTATAGTTGCACAACAGTTTGAACAACCAGCCTTTTTGCTCTACATGATGAATGATAAATATTAATTCTATTCTATTTTCCTTAGAAAAACTCACCAGCCAAACAAAGGGTATTCATTGAATAAGTTTAACCATATTTCAAGTAATATAAGTCTCTGGTTCTTATGGCTTTGATGACAATATGGGCTGAATAACATTCAAAACTCATATGAAATGTGAGTTTCAATTTTAGACAAATATTTGACTCTTTGAAGCCATTATGTTATTGTCTGTGTTCCAGATTTCTTAACAAGCCGAGATTTTCAAACTCATTTAATTATGAAGGAAGTTACAGATACTACTGATGTAATATCTAATAACAGTGGTAAAACAGACAGCAATTTAAAATATAATGGTGATGACATTAATGAATATATTAAATAACAAACTTTAACAGTCAATGGTTTAATCAATAATGATGAAAACAGTGATGTTGTCAATGATGTTATAACATTAAATAGTTGTAATGTTTCAAAGTGATGTTTTCAATGATGTCATAGCTAGTCATATTTCAAAGTGATGTTTTCAATAATGTCCCAAATGATGTCATATGTTTCAAAGTTATGTTGAC